TCTAGGTTAAATGCAAGTCCATCAATATCCACCCACTCTGCAAGTAATCTGAGGTCACTGCACTGCACTGCACTTGATTCTGTTTCTGACGTCATAGCTCTCCATAGCTTAACATCAGCGTAGAGTAGAATTGGGGAGCTGAGATTCAGTGGGAGATTGTTCACAAAAAGAGGGAATAGCAGCGGACCCAGAATCGCCCCTTGTGATACACTAGATGATGATGTCCTCCAAGTCGAGCAAACTCTGTTGGCTTTTGTGCAGAAGTGTCTACCGTCTAGATAGTCCTGCAGCCTTGAAAGCACTTGTCTATTGATACCCAACCTTTCTATTTTGTGAATAAGAACGGTGTGTGGAACCGTGTCGAAGGCCTTAGTAAATTCCAGGAAAATAATATGGACAGGAATTTTGAGGTTCCAGCGTGCCGTTTATGATTATAGGGACCTGGATAAACCGAATGATTTCTCCTTTCTCATTCCTAAATCTTACTGGGCGTTTTCAGGTTTTCAGAGAGTTCTAATTCTGTAGATCTAGCCAATAGCCTGCTACAGTTCTCGTAAACTCTTGGTTGTGTTGGTGTTGGTTAAATTTGTCCTTGAACTGATACTGATGCCAGCTGTAGATGTCTTCTTATTAGCCAGTTGTTTGTAGCGGCCTGAATGAAAATTATTTTATGCAGGTGACCGCCAAAGTAAACAACGAGGATGAAGACAAGGAAAGTAAGTGTGGACAAGATGTACATAGGTAAATTTCCAGAAAAGGTTGGAGGAAATGGTGAAATATAAGACTTGAACGAATACCTTCAAGTGGTGGGTAGGGGAGGAATAGTAATGATCGACAGGGAATAATTAAGGCATGATGGCAAGAGAAATCTGAACGATGGTTGGCTGTGAGATGTTAACTGGAAAGACAAGATATTTTTTAGGTATGATGAGGGTTGATTCAAGTCGATAGTGATAGTGGCAATGGGATAGAATCAGAATCAAGGCTACTGACAGGGTGAAGTTGTTACGCCTTCAATACGTTATTACGGCCTGACTTGTATCCCGGCCGGGTGGGCGTGATCCAGACGTCGTGGCATAACTACGTAAGCTTCTCCGAAGCAATGAATTATGTGGAGGTGGTTACCTCAGCTGGTAATACTTTCCTGTGACTATAGACTTGAAAGGGAAAGAAACGTAATCGTCAACTGTCCTGTGCTTTTTAGTAGGCAAGTCAGCATTGTACCACGACAGAAAAATGTTTAGCTGCCCAGATCCGTTAGTTTATCTCCCCATGGTTTCGCTGCATCCCTGCAACACACCTCATGTCTCTAAACCCTCTACGGTAGATTCGCGCTTCTTTTCTAGCTCCGCTAAGCAACGACGTTCCAGTCCCTAAGTGAGTTTGTATGCAAGTCCTGAGAGGCTCTCGAAAGGACTCTTAGGTAAAGTTTCTTAGTCAACTACTTACGGGAGGTAGTACAGTACGGGAAATTATTGCGTCTTCCGAGTACAATAAACTAGCCTCTTGGTTGCCAGCTAATCTCAGACAGATCCTGCTCCGTGGTAACAAGACGAAGGTATTTTCCACAGCTTTCAAGCTTTTTAATTCCTCGATACAAGTCCAGTGACAAAGCGAATGTTGGGAACTACAGGCCAATCAACATAACGTCAGTCATCTCCCGAATTATGAAAAAAGTGATTAAGAGCAGCATGTCTGACTACCTACTTAGAGAAAACTTCATCACAAAGTCTCGGCTCGGTTTCATTAAAAACAGGTCTTGTGTTACTTGCCATTTCGACTTCTCCAACCTTATTGCTAATAGCCGCGAGGCACGTAAAATCGTCACTGTCCTATACTTTGGTATATCAAAGGCATTTGACAAGGTGCCCCACAGTATTCTCTTTGATAAGCTACAATCGATTGGTATTCATGACCCTCTACTCCATTGACTAAAATCACGTCTTATTGATCACAGCCAAATCGTAAAAGTAAACTCTATGCAGTCTACACCTAGGCTTATAACTAGTGAAGCAATACAGGAAAGTATCCTTGGACCTTTGTTGTTCATAACTTATATTGATAGTGTGTGCAAGGGCCTCACTGTAAGGGAAACATTCCTATACGCTGATGACCTTAAGGTTGTATACTCATATCGCACCCATGAACTAGGTAATACGCTATCTACTGCTCAACAAGAATTAGTTGAGGCTGCTAAATGGTGTAACGAGTCCAATCTCAAGTTCAACATTGATAAATGTGGTTGGCTTAGCATAGGCAGCGATAACCTAGATATGTCCCTCGAAGTATGTGGACGAAAGCTACCCAGGCGTTCTTCAGTGCTAGATCTTGGCCTTAGATATTCCAGCGACTTAACATTCTCCGAGCAGATGACCTGTTTCACATCTGAGTCACGTAGACCTCTTGGATGCATCGTCTGTAACTTTCATAGCACTGAATCAGGGTCCTACTCTAGAGTGAGCATCCATCCAATTTTAGAGTACTGCCCGTTTATCTTAAGTGGCCTTCGTATGAGCGACAAAGGAAAAATTGAAGGAGTACAACGCCACTTTACACTGAAAACACTAGGAGCTGACTGCAGCCTAGACTACATCTCGAGATGCAACATGCTAAACTGGACTGGAACCTCTCTGGAAGAGGCGACTTAGAATGAATCTTATATTTTACCATAAATTACTTCGTAAGCAAGTGCACTCATGTGGCCCGGAAATTAAAATAGTTGTAACATCTACTCACTATTTACGTAATCACAACCTATTAGCGGAAAATGAGTGTTGTAAGACCAAATTGCGAAGAAACTTCTTCATCAGCAAGTCTTCAATCTGGAATAGACTTCCTGAGGAAATACGTACCGCAGGCTCATTATCTGCCTTTCGTTTTGCACTTAATAAGCTCCTAACAGATGATCAGTCTATCACTCGCCTAGGCACTATCTATATGTTCTGAGCTGATGAAAACATACTAGGACCTCTAAATGTATAGAGTAAAGCTATCATAAATCTCAAGTACTTTTTACCTCAATGGACTCATAAAGGGTGTTTGATTACCAGTCCATCTGGTCAGATTGTGCAGTACAAATACATAGCCAGTGTTCCCTTTAAGTTTACCAACAAAAACTGCCTATCTAACAACTTGTGTGAACTTCATATACGAAAAACAAAAAGGAAGATTCATCCTCATATGGATAAATTAAAGTTTACATATAGCTCGAATGACTTTAAAAAGACAACATATTCTCTCCTCCCAGTTTATGTTACGTGTTATTCCATTGTCCAGTTTCTCCTTGCGCTCTCTTCTCTTTTCAGCGTCGGCCTGACGAAGAAGTCCTAAGCATTAGTTCGATCAAAAAGTATCAACTTACTGGAAATCCTACTTCGTACCTAGTACTGGAAACTGATGTTAGAGGTATCCAAATGGCTGGCCCCGATTTTCCTGTTTCTTGAACAGCTTCAAAACCAACTCACCTCTCAACCAGTACCCTAAACGCTACCACACACGAAACCCCAAGCACAATAACTGGTCTCTAATTTCTGGTCCGTGACAAATGCAGCGGAAATCTGGACAAGCAACCAAACCAGAGAGATCACTTTACCTAACGGCAACACACCCATAATAATGCTATGCAATGAATTTCTCTGGTACTTTGTCTTGTATCAATCCATGTAATAGAAGTCAATTAACAGCCAATGTATCTCCTTGACAATGTTGCATACTCTAACGCGTGGTCTGTGAAGTTTTACGCATGTGTAATATTCACCACTGTTGAATGACGGTGCTTCCAGTCTTTAATTACTTGCACCACAGCATATGTTTTCGGCGCTACCAATCTAAGTTGCTGGGAAAGGCAACACCTTGAGGGTGAGAAACGCCTGAACTTAGACATTCACCTGGATTAAATGACTGTATGGATACTTACTTATTCCTGAAATCATTGAAAATTACTGTTAAAATAGACGTTTATCTCACAAAACACTGGGTCTTGCAGATGGGTCAATCGCGTCGACTACTCGCAACTCAAACACCGAGTATTGTGCCGTCTGATATGAAAAAAAATTGTGAGCAGAAACGACTTAAACTCAGAACGATGTGCATGCACCGTAGAGTGATGTTTCCCTGCTATTTTCATAACATTTAGACACTTGATATCATGCTAGAGCCCGGTGTCCTCCCTCTGTATCATTCAACACTGCTTAGACCTTTTACGTTTCGCTGCAACTATCAATTTGATGAGGCCTATAAACTGGCTTCTCTCATGCTAGCTTCATAACTTGAGAACAAAGATATTTATTTATTTATTTATTTAAGACGCCGTGGAAGGTTATTAACAAAACTCAGCAACAGTAACAGAGCCATGTTTTCCCTTTCGATACGCCAAACAATGATACCTTTTAGGCTCAGCTAACCGCCCTGAGATCCATAGAGAATTCTTTACTATTTATGTCACCCAGCTGACCACCTTCACACAACTGCACCACCTTCGGTCGGAGAATAGGGTAGAGGATTCTATCCCTGACATCGCCAAGATGCAGAAAAATTCCTTGAGTATGGAGCTAGAGCCCCAACCACTCCGTACAGTTGCCGCAAGTTGCCAGGAGATACGAGGAGCAGAAAACCACATAGGCTGGCTGGGTGCGTACTCTGCCTGAACCTTCCCGATATGGCCATCTTCCAGAATATCCGTTGCTTTTGTCACCGGTGGTGCTACAGTTGATCGCTTGTCACCTCCCTCGAGGATAAGGAGCAAGGCGTCACATTTCAACTCTAGTTAAAAGTCTGTTACCAATTAAGGGGGGTGAAAACGAATGTCTAGAGGGGACATAGGTCAGTCGCATATGCAGTGAACACACAGGGAAGAATCTGCTGGCGTAGAAATGATAGGACTTCATGAAAATATAACACAGTATAAAGAAGTCATCTACAAATATGGTACCGCTTGGAAGTTGAACAGTATCACGGGCTACTTGGGCGGTTAGTGCACACAGCAGTTGATGAGATATTACCTTCAATCCCTGAGACGGTAATTCAATCATAAAAAGTGACTAACTAAGGTTAGTCGATCGGACGGTTTCTTCAGGGCATTAACATTGCTAAGTGCTTCAAATGCAGACACTCACTTCATCCTCCCTTAACTAATTCGTCTGATCACTTGCAAAAATCAACTTCCGTTGTGGGTCTAGTAGCAGTTTATTGCTACTTACGGATTGATAAATAAATCGTTGGAAGGACTGTTCAAGTAGTGATTAGAGTTAACTCTAAAGACTTTTGTATCTAGCCATCATGATAAATCTGTGAAGTGTGTGGCCAAGAATTCCCAATGTTCAGCAATTGTGCTTGAACCTAGAAGGTATAAGTATATTTCCACTTACCAAACAATTGCCAGTACATGCGAACAGGGAGCCACGCCATTTTCATGTCCGTTATCCCGACCGTGCGTCTATCAGTAAAAATACCACACTGTCATTCAGTTTTACTTGGATATACATTCCCTGCCAGGTGCAGCCTTATTTGTAGTGATGACGAAGGGTATCGGGCTCGTTTTCTGCGGTTTCAAAGGCCGAGCGATGAAGTCCGGTTAGCAGCATCATTCTCTATGGGACATTCAAGTGAAATGCCAACCAACAGATGGATTTTGAGACCGCGATTAACAGAAATAAGCGATATGAGACACTATTCAGTGAACGATAACATTCTGACAGCCCTAAGAATGGTCTAACGGCGAGTCAAGAAAACGGGAGGTACATATTCTTTCACAGAATCGAGTGGGATATAACAGGCACGATAACGCCTTTGATAAACCTGACGCTCACTGAATGGGTTGCGCCTCAGCCAAATACGAAATTTCCACCGAATTCGCATATCATGCAGTTGTAGTCGTTGTAACAGTGCACAGCAAAAAAGGTTTAAGCGAATTTACGGCACGTTTGTCCCCACCTACCGATTGCCACCAACATTTGCTATGCTGCAGACTTCCTATCAGACATTTCGTCATTGACTGAATTTAGTAACTGCATCACTTTTCCATGTTCCCGCTCCCTTTAATCTACACACCCAACTACTTATTTAGGTTCCCTCCTATATTTATCATCAGCGTTGGTCCTTGCGAATAAACCTTACGGTCTGATGGATACTAATGGTAATAATAATGATTTGTTCGTGAAGTTACAGGTGCATATCATTTTCACAGATACGGTGTAAAATCCCTGGTAATATTTTTCGACTATCTCCATCTTATCCCAGATAGTGAAAATCCCCGGTCCGAAAGAAAGAAGGTTGCACATCACGCACGAGTAGTGCAATCAAAGTTGAATGTTGGGCTTTTGTTATGCTCTTAGGTTATCCGGCAGAAATGAAAGTCATGTTTGATGAACACATAAAAGCACCATTCGAAAGGAAGAGGGAATAACTCCGCAAATTCCCCGACTGGACATATATCCACCGCAGCCGCCATGATGATCTGCATCACGCTTAAAGAGTCCGCAGCAGCAGATGAAGTTGCATTCCTCTGCATTTTTGTGTGCCGTTTATGCTGCAGTGGATGAAATGGCGCCAGTCAATGCAACACTGGATCAATGAATGTCAAGGGGCCCCAAGGAAGTATCTTCATGTGATGCCATAAAGACGTTGATCGCAGGTCGCACGATTGTTTGAAGGTGGACGCAGTGATATTAAAGAATAGTGCTGATGAAATATTACAATTCCAATCTAATTGCAGGTTTCCAAGATTCTATTTATCATAAGAATAGCGAAAACAACGCGGGGAACCAAGGCACAAGGAAGTTAATTATACGTAAATTTAGACTTATGTATATGGTGTCATACCCGCAATTAAATGCATAGTCCTAGGTTTTGTGTGCACACCGCGTTTTGGAAGTGCTTTGCTTGAGGGGCCACATCTGAAGATGTCTTCATTAGTGATGGTAACAAGTGGGGGGGGAGTAGTTCGACAACCTAATTAACGAAGTAGTTCTAATTGTTTCAAACTTGTCCATAGGATGTAATGGGAAGAGTGTGGATTTACCAATCAGAGCGTGACACCCCATATATTTAAGGGACCTGTTATACTGAGCGTTGTGGGATATACTTGTGATTCGCTCTGTATGTTGGGGAGTTTTCCGGAGGATAGAAGTCTTTCTAACATGCGAGTGAACTGGATAGTTGAGCTGGAAATTTCGGATGAAGTTGGCTAGGAGAGATTTTCTAAAGGCTTCGGCTTAACGCTGTAGAGTTGATTGAGAAGACTGTAGCAACCATTTGGTATGAAACGGACGTCCTCACTAGCTGCAAAGGATGTTTTGTGCAAAATCTTGAAGAAAATTTAAGATCAGTCTTGGGACGTCCCATCCAAAGTGGTTACAGATCAAGGGACGAACACCTAAACGCATAATCCTGACCACATTTGTAACCAAGTAGCCTGGATGTAAAGTGCCTTTGAACACCTTCGACCTTAAATTTGAAGATCTAGATTTCTTAGTTGAGGATGGAAGGCTTTAAGCCAGTAATAAGCTTTTTCCAGCAGATTTCGTCGCTTGCTAAGTCCTCCTTTGAATGAGTCGTTGGTGACACGGACACCTCTTCCTCTGAGATTGCCTACAGCGAGAACCAGTGCTGTGGAGACTACGTTCGTCCTTTGCTTTTTCATTCTTCTGCCACATCCTCTGAGTTGTTCCCACCCAGTGGAAAGAAAAGAGAAGGCAGATTACTTCCAGAGCCATTTCCTAGGACCTCGTTCAGCGTGATTACCTCTAGCCTTTGCCTGCGATAGAATAAACAGAAGGGCTCAGCTCCCTAAATCGATCTTCGCAGGTCAGACCAGATGCGACAGGAATCACACGAATGGCCGCTTCCTCAGCGCTTTCAAGAGGGTTTGAGTCATGACGCAGCCTAGGATTCGTGACCAGTGCACTCTTTACTGGTGTTGGTCCAAGAGAGGAGGTGTTCACAATGACGAGCATCCAATGTTATCTTTGCGAATTCTTTGGTTAGCTTCCAGTGCCCTTAAACTCCAAGCTGTGACCCATAGACAGTGTACCGTGGTCTTCGAATCGCAACTTACCATGGCTCCTCCGTCGTCATGGGCCGGTGCTCAGGGTAGCGCAGTCCTACCCATATCGTAGATGTTGCCAACTGTGTGCTTTACATGCATGCCCAAGCATTCACCTACGCTGATAGGTGTCAGCCATGTCGCCGACCAGGTAGGCAAGCTTTGTAGGCCTGGCTGAAGTGTATGTGCATCTTCTTCGCGCCCAATTTCCCGCCGGAACTCGCACCACCAGGGCAGGGCGCCAAGAGGGATTTCCGGATATCTGGCAGTTCACTCTCCACTCCACTCTGTACTGACTTCCAAGAAAGGGTCGAGAACCGACCTTTGCTTCTGTCTCTCACCGACGGAGAACTCTTTGATCCACGCAAGCAGATTGGCAGCTATTCTAAAACTGTCCAATTGCCATAACAACCTGAGTGAGGTACCTTGTTACACCTCTTAACAAACATGAAAATGGCATCTGCATCCAACCTTTCATCCTTATGCGTAACCTAACTTTCTCTGACTATGAGAGGATTGTTCAAGCAAAAGAAGTTTCTGCGAAAGCCACACTACGAACCAGACAACCAAGCCTTTCTCTCTAAGTGATTTGTGATGACTTTCTTCATTATTCTGTCCAGGATTTTTGACACAGTGCCAGCCAAACTTATTGGTTTGTAACTTGGTGGATGCTGCCTGGAACCAGTCTTGTAGATAACTGTCACAATGGCATCCCTCCACTCACAGGCGAGTGTGGCAACTGAAGTCCAGTTATCGCGGCCCGAACGCAGAAACCAATTCAACGTAACCAAGCAAACACGATCCAGACAAGTTACTATGTTCTACTGTATAGCTTTCCGAACTTTCTCAAACCATGCGCAGAGATTATGGTCCAACAATATCGAAACACGATTTGACGTAAAAAATCTGTTAGGGAGCTGTGGCAAATCTGTAGTACTAGTGAATAACGATAAGTTATGTCAAAACCACAAAAAGCGTCAGCAATGCCACTGAGTAACTACAGAATCCGGAAATATATCTGGCATGAAATACGTACTATGCAAGGGAAGATTTATTAGCCAAATGCAGTTGCTAAATACCCGAAAATAGGAATATTACCGACGAATAAGATCAAATTTCTGTCTAGAAGAATCAAACCAATCGATAAACGTTTACGGTAGACAGCCACAGACTCGACTCAGAGCGTAACCTTAATTTGAGCCAAAACAAAATCTCAGGAACAGTGAAACGTCATGTCGTCAACACCTCACCACCACACAAAAGCTGGATGAAGAGTCAATGCTAAGTCTCAATCAACGCAATGAATAATAAATAAACAAGTTTTTATTCTCACATTGGTAATCAGCGTGAGAGAAGCCAGTTTACAGGCATCATCACATTGATATATGTTGAAGAATCTACAAGATTTTACGGGTCCTGAATAGCACGGAGGGGGGTCGTCTAACTCCGTCAAAAAACATCAGATCGCGGCTACGGGACAAAGAAAATACCACTTTTAGCATATGCAGTGCGTCAAACCGAAGATAGTAAGAATTCCCATCCCCATATAACGGATTTACCATGACAGATACCACTTCGCAAGCACCACCAAAACGATGATCTTGAAGGTTTACAGAATAATGCCGGGAATTATATAACTCACATAGCAAGCTGTTGATATGCATAAACTCATTGAAACTTGCTGCAAATCAAGAGACGGATGTGGATTTCCATCTGTTATTACACAGATAGGTTCCACTATCAACAAGAAAAGCGTGCAATGTTCGAAGTTTGCGTTATAACTAGACGACGTTGTTAGTCCATTTGCATAGTTTCTTATTTAGCAATATAGACGTCCATTCGCTAGAAAGTTCTTCAGTCTTTAGCTCTGCTAACCACAAAAGACCTATTTATACTATCTGGAGTATCAGTAAGTATCCACAGTTATATAACCAAGGTGTGTGTCTAAGTCCATGCATTTCCAGTACACTATGTGGTTTAGAGGTAGTA